TAAATACATTATTTTAAAAGTAAATTATTGATATTAAAGATGTACATAAAACTTTATCTCTGGAAAAAAAAATAACACAATTATGAAATTCTTTTCTATATGAATGACTTTGAATGCTGTAGATCATACAAATGAGTTTAGTTTAAGAAATATTAAAGTCAATAATATTAACAGTCTACGGTCTTGATAATTCTTCTACTACGCATCACTCGTCATTTTCTAACAAAAAAAATTCATTTCATCAGTAAAACCTATCGAAACTTATAAAATGCTTTGAAAGTGTTTCCTTTCAAATTTTTCTGTTAAATCATTAAACTATCATTTACAAGCAAATGATTTCATAGAATTAATTTTAGCCAACTAAATAGCTAAAAACCGGATTGGCAATCATTTCGAATCATGTGCAATATTTTTATCTTGTCTTTATTCACTTCAAAAAACTCGTACGAAAAAATACGATAAAAAGAAAAGACTACATACATACGAGAGAAAAGACAAAAATGAAAGGACAATAAAAAAAAACTTTTAGGATGAGATGTACGAATATCTCTAACAACAGCTGGATTACATGTGTAGAAATCATAGAACGATATGAAAAATAATTACAAAGAATTGATAATGATCAAGTTCGTTCTTGTTTACTGAAATAAAGAAAAAAAGAGAAAAAGAAATGGTTAATTCAATAAGAATGTTAACATACATAGGTCTTTTTGGTTTGACGGGCAGCTTTATCAGCACCTGATTTCACACTATCTGCACCACTTTTAACTGCATCACGAGTTTTATTAATAGCTGCATCAGCAGTACGTTTAGAATCTGATGATAAATCTTCTTTCTATGAAATAAAAAATCTTCATAAAAAAAAAGTTAAATATTATTATAAATATTTACAGCATCTTTCACCCATTCAGATGCTTTATTAGCGGCATCTATATAAAAATATAAATATAAGAAAGATCAAAACAGTACAATAAAAATAAAACATACTCTTAGCAGACTTGGCAACATCATCGGCAACTATCAATCGATAAAAACTTTAAAAAAAAGGAAATATATTAAATTAATTTACCTTCACGAGCTTTATCGGCAGCTTGACTAGCATAATTTTTAGCTGTTGAACTAGCTGCACTAGCCTGAGAAAAAGAAAATCGAAATTCCTATTGGTTTTTTATACATATAAAAATTCATACTGTTGATTTTGCTTGTTCAGCATATTCACTTGCTTTATCTTTAATTTTCTCTGTGGTTGACTGTTCACTAGAGTAACTACCAGAACGTGATGGACTGCTACTTGTTGTTCCATATCCAGAACGACCTTGTGCTTGATTAGCTGCAGTTCGAAAATTTTCAGCAGCTCGATCACCTAAGAAAATATGGTTATTTCTTTTTCTTTTTTGAATTTAGAAATAACTAACCATGTACTTTAGCATCTTCAACTTTTTTATCTAAACAAATAATTCACTTTATTTGTTAAAATATCCTTTTAAATTCAAAATTATTAATTTACTAGCATTATTATCACCAGTAACAGCACCAACAACAGTTGATGCAGCACTACTGGCAGCTTCTTTCACTTTTTCAGCTGCTTGACTAAGTTGATCAACACCTTGTTTTACATAATCCATAGGGCCTTTTGCTTGTCCAGTAGCAAGTGTACGTACAAAACTTGTTTGTACGACTAAAATATTCGTAAAATTTAATTTTAATATCAAAAATTAAAATAAAAATTACCTCGTGAACCCATCAAGAAAGTACGTGTAAGATTACTTGCCATGATATATAGTATTTGTTAATTTAATAAATGAAAAAAAGGATTCGAATAAGATTTAGTATCTAAAAAATTCACAGAATATCAACCATTTCTACTTCAATGTATCTTCAATGTAATAGTGAAGTAAATGGCAAATTCGATCTGTATAAATAATCTACACTCGTTGGTTTTTTTTTCCCACGTGTTAGTTCCACGTGCTATTAGTACATGTTCCTTCCACGTGACGTCGACATTGTATACTAAATGACGTGGTGACGCATAAAGCATTATTAAAAAAAACCTATTGTGCTCCAATAGAGAGAATAGTGCATGTTTACTCTTAATGATGAAAAATAATTTCAGATTAGAAAAAGAAAATGAAGTGAAAGAATAGAATTTTTGGAAAGTACTCAAATGAATAGTTAAAATGAGACAAACAGTACAATGTAATTGTCCATAAACAAAAGTGACATCTATTGGTAATACTCTATTGAAGGTTGTGGAAACTCTACGACCTTAGAACTGAATATAAACACCTGAATCTATAAATATATCTATTACAATTATTGCTTCGTCATATTTTTATATAGACAGAGGAAAAATTATTATAGTTTTATTGGTTGTGATATATCATTGCTGATCCTATGGATGTTCATAGACACTTGTGTCTTTCTTTAATAAATAGATAGTCTACAATAATATCTAAGATATTGATGATTTGTATTTGTATTCATAGATTTAGAACTATATATTTCTATACGAAATCATAGAGAATCAGGGACATCTGTAGAAGTGTTCGATGTGAAACTCTTCTATCTATTGTCTATAAACCAACATTTCTCTAGCTCTATATTGAATACAATCTATTTATAATCATATGAATATGGTCTACTATTTGATCGGCAAATAACATTGATCGAAATTTAGCAATAGTGATATACGTATATATCATTGTTATCATGCCAATCGAAAACATTAACAAGTATGCAGCTTGTAATTGATGAAATAGAATTGTTCCAGATAGTTTATTGACCGTAAAAGGTCGTTGTTTGACGTTTAGGTAATACCCATATTTTGTTTTGTCGAAAATGATTAATAACAATTTCTTGCAACTTTGAGAACTATATGTAATGCATCGTTTACGGTACAAGCACATATCGGTTATAATAAATGACAAACAACTGTTGTAAGAAAATCGTGGATAATTCTAGTTTTTCAATATAATGATGGAGATCCTGTATCATAATGTCTTCATATTAAATCGATAAGAATTAGTAACTATTGATATAATAACAATTCAAGACTCGAACATAATCTGCTGTTGTATAGTATAGCTAATCTAATACATATTAGTACTTTTCGTAAATCTAATTATGTATGTTTTTTTGTACTGAATGTTGTCTGACAAAGATATTTAAAGTAGAAATTCACATGGCCAGTGTATCAACGGAAATTGTTATTTGTAATGGATACTAAATAGCTGAGCAACCAATGCATAAGTCTAAATATTTTTACGAATGCCTACGGTCTAGGCTTGCATCAGCTTCAATGAGTTTGGTATCAGTTTACTAGTCATAGCATAAGAATCAATAAGGATTAGTGCAAGATCATTGAATGTGTACTCTGTCGACTAATCAGAAGTACGACTGATGTATACTTACTATTATCCGACCCAAAATAAAAGGCAAGGTTACCATTTTTCAAACAACTTCTGATGCGAATGCGATAGAGAGCTACAATTTTTACCATTCGAAAGAGCGATGTTCGGGCCATTAATCGGTATGGAACTCATTAAGATGAAAGATACTCTTTTATAGGTACTTTTGGATCAACACTTTTCCTTCGAGTATTTTCACAATAATCTCAACTCAAATTATATCAAAATGTAGCTCAAATCACCTTTTTTTCGCTATAAAATTATCCCATATTTCATTTTCTTTCAACCTCCTATTCTAAGCGAATTAAAAAGGCGAATATTAATTTTATAGCGAAAAAAAAGGGTGATTTGAGTTACATTTTAACATAATTTGAGTTGAGATTATTGTAAAAATTGATGAAAATACTCGAAGGAAAAAGTGTTGATCCAAAGGTACCTATAAAAAAAAGTATCTTTCGTCTTAATGAGTTCCATATCGATTGATGGCCCGAACATCGCTCTTTCGGATGGTAAGAATTGCAGCTTTCTATCTCATTCTTATCAAAAGTTATTCGAAAAATGGTAACCTGCCTTTTAACTAGGATCGGATAACACAAACTATTCTCGAAACACTTTAAAAGTAAACAATGAGTAATAAAATAAAATAAGCTAATACCAAATGACTATAAGTTCAGCTAATTTAGGTGCAATCTCAAAAATATAACGACTAACAAGGGAACACTGACAGATGTTCTTTTCCAATTTCAATGATTTTTGCCTATAGATACCGCATAGTATTCTAATAAAAACCCTAAAAAGATTTACATTTTGACTAAGCTATTGAGGTTCTTTTCTAGAGGCTTCAAGTTTTTGAAGAACCCATATTTTCGAATTTTGATCTGAAACTTTGCATATATAGAGAGTTCAATTCGATTAACTTCCATAGAAAAAATTCACAAGTTTTAAACAAAGTCTCTTCGAAATATAAGATTTTCAACGTATAGATCCTTTTCTATGGATAGTATATATCACATGCATTTTTTGAAAGTTTCATATCTCGAAGAGACTTTGCTCAAAACTTTTGATTTGTTTTATGGAAGCAAGTTTAGTTGAGTTCTCTATATGTACAAAGTTTTTAGATCAAAATTTTTACATCCAACTTTCAACAATATTTTCTTTCATTGTTTTTGCCATTCACTTTTAACATAAAATAGACTCGTATATGAATGTTTATTCAAAACATTTTTTCTCCATTTGTTTCATAAACGAAAAAGTTATTCATACAGAATCTGTAAAAGGAATTCTATAGGTTTGCAAAGATTTTCGATGATTTACATTTATTGTTTTCTATGAATTGTAATCTTATAGAAAAATAATCGATTAATTGTTCGATTGATTTATTCTTATGAAACATTTTAGCAAATTTTTATTTTCTAAAGCGGAACAAGATGTCGCCTATTTCTAATAGTATTAAAATTTTAATTCTTATATACTATTGGTTTTTAATCATTACTACACCCTTTTTTCAACTACCAAATTATCAAACATAAAGATATTCAATTGAAATTTCTAAACTATTTTTCCCCATTATTTTAACTTTTAACACAATTAGTATTTTCTTGAAATGATTGTTCATATTGTTTTTTAGACAAATTTAATTGATTTTTTTCCTCTATATTTCAAAACTAAATCCATGTCAACATCAGGCCCACGTGGTCGAGGTCGTGGAAGTAAGTCGACAAAACTACTGTATTAGAGTATTTTTAATCATTGTTTTATTTAGAAAGAGCAAATCGACAAGATACAGGTCCACTTGAACCATATCGATCTCAATCAATGGCCATTATACCTGAGAAATTTCATGAAGAAATTAAAGAAAATGGTACAAAAAATCATTTACCATCGTCATCATCGTCATCAGGACACAAATCATCTTCTGATCAACACCCTAAATCAACATCACATTCATCAATTAATCGTGCTAGATCAACACGTCCATTTAGAAATTCAATTCGTTCAGCTGTACCTGATACATCTGTTATAACAATGGCTAAACGACCAGATCGAGGTGGAACAGGTAATTAAATTCTTTAGATTGTTACAACGAAAAAGAATTTTTATTAAATTTTTATTTTAGCTGGTCAAAAATTACAATTGTATACAAATCATTTTAAATGTAATATACCTCGAACATTAAAATGTCATCAATATGATATTGAATTAGAAGTAGCAAATCGTGATGGTACATGGCGTCCAGCAAAAAAAGACGATCGATTTTTTATATTAAAAAAAATAATTGATCGTGAAAATTTTCCATTTGTTTGGTATGATGAAGGAAAAAGTCTTTATTCAATTGAATTACTTGTTGATTTTAAAAATCAATATGAAATTATGATTAAAGATAAAAAAAGTGATCGTGAACAAAAATATCGTTTATTACTTATTAATCTTGTCAAATCTTATGATATACAGGTAAATATTTAAATTTATTTAGTACGAAAAAAAAAATAATGTATGATTCTTTTCTTGTTTTTTTTCTTAAGGTTCTTTGGGATTTTATTGAAAATAAAATACCTATTCGTCCAAGAGATCCTATTAGAATACTTGAAACACTTCTTAAACAGACTACTCGTGCAACAATGGTTTGTGTTAAAAATCAATTTTATGATCGACATCAACAGCTCGATGATTTAGGTATAAACAAATTTATTCTCTGTATAACCAAAATTCATTTTCATAGAAATAAATTATGCAAGACAATAGATATTCGATTATTTAGGATAAATGAATGTGTCAGAAAAGAGTCTTGTATTAATTTCAGCAAGCGTTCTCAATTAGGTGAGAACATTTCCCTTCCAAAGTATCCGACTTTCTACCAATTTTTTACAGCATCATGGTAGTTTTAAACCCATTTTAATAAATTTTTTATTGAGAGCAAGGTGTTTCCAAAAACTATAAAATAAAGGGATTTGACGTGAAGTTTTGCCTATAGACACGTTCGATAGTCCTGAAGCTTTTAACAAAAACAAGCATGTCATGGGGGTTTTATTGAATTTTGATCCATATTTGGGTATTTATCGAAACATCAAATAACGGTTTTTCGATCTGAGATTTTACCCATAAACAAATCCAATGATTAGTGGAATATTTTGAAAGTTTCAGCAGAAAAGATACTTCCTTTGTGCAGATATTGAATTTTCAATCACAACTCTTCCTTAGCAGACTATCAGTCCGAATCTTTTTAAACTTATCTTAATCTCACAGGGACTTATTCATAGATAAATTATCAGAGATTTCATACACATAACTTCTTTTCTTTTACGTCAGAGTATTGATTATTTTACAATATTGGTAAAGCGTTTTATCATCTAAACACTTCATATTTTTT